CCCGCCCTCCCCTCCCCTCCTCGACCCCTCTCTCCTGTCCTCCTGTCGTGGTCTTCCCTCTGGCCGCCCTCCCTCCCGCCCCCTCCGGCTTCTTTTGGCCTGGGTTCTGCTCCCGGCAGGAATCGGCAGCGGCCGTCCCGATGGCCGGGGCCGTGTCTCGGCAGCTCGTGGGACGGCGGAGCCGAGGCACGTGCGGGACTCCGGAGACAGGTCAGTGTGGGCGACCCGCGCCATCGCCGGGTGGTGCCAGAACCCTCTGGCTGGAGGCGGAGAGGCTGCATGCGACGGTGGGCTGGCCCGGGCCCTGTGGGAGTGGACGGAGGGGCCGTGGAGGGCCCCTTCTGTGACCCCATGCCTGGGCCCCCCGCTGGCCGGGAGGCCTCACTGAGTGGAGTGACGGCCTGGCCCGTGCTGCTGGGCGTGGGCCCCGCGGCAGAGCCGTCCCGGGGGGCTGGCGGGAGCCAGGATGCCCACAGGGGTGGGTACGGGGGTGCTGCGGGTGGCGGTCCCCTCCCCGGACCTGGGGCGCACGGTGGGTGCTCAAGCCTGCTCTGCTCTGCGGGGCCCCGGTGGTCAGCGTCCATGGGACGGAAGGTGGCAAGTCTTTCCCACCCGCTCTGCTCCACAACGCCGGGTCTTTTGTGGGGAGCACTTGCGTCTAGTGGTGAGAAAGGTCTTCACGTTTGAGGGCAGGTGTGAGCATGTGCGGGAGTCCTCCGGCCGGGCTGCCCTGCGTTACCCACACGTTTGCCTTGGGTCTCCACAGCCTCCTGGAGAAGCAGCTTCTCGTTCTTATCGTCCAGGCCGAGGCCTGGCTGGCCCTCCTGGAATGTTCTCCGGGAGCTGGTGCCCCCTCCACTCCAACAGCCCCATTCCCTCAGGGACAGGGGGCCTCCCGGCCATGGGAGAAGATGCGTCCCTGCCAGGCTGTGTGCTCCTGGAAGACAGATTTACTGAGCACCTACCGTGCCCCAGGCAAGGTGTTGGCACGAGGATGTGGAGGGGACCAGGTCTGTGCGGTAGGCCCCCCCAGGGTCTTCCTGATTCCTGACATGTTTTAGGTGCTCACGGAAGCCGGAGGACTGAGAAAGTATGGTGCTGGGCATGGCCCCGTAGGCGGGGTGCAGAAGCACTAGACAGCCCGAGGGAAGCTGAGGTCAGAGGACTGGGGGAGGCCGGGACAGGGCACCTGGGGCAGGTGCAGGGAGTGCCTTGGAGAAGGAGAGGGCTGGCTGGGCTGGGTTCTGAGGGATGCATAGGAGTTCCTGCCCTCTAGGCAGAGGCAAGGCAGGTGGCAGGGCGCGGAGGGTGAGGGCCTGGGCTGTTTCAGGTGTACCCTTCTCTGCTACTGACCTGTCCTCCATCTCCTGGGGGAGCGGCCGGTGCACCAGGGGCCCCCGGGGGGAGTGCATGGCTTCTATCTAGCTTGAAGTTTGGGGTTCTCTGTGAACTTGCTTTGCAGACGTGGTTTTACTGTGTCCCAAGAGGGGTTTGGAAGCTGGTGCTGACCGTGGGCTGGGCAGGGCGGGACCTTCCGCCGTGGCGAGGTGGCAGGACCTTCTTCAGAACGTTCCTCCCAAGGCGTGTGGTGGCCTCTGGCTACGTCCCTTAGGAGACCCCGAGGACGTTGGGCCCTCCAGAATGTGGCTCTTCACCCTCAGGGTCACCAGGGAGGCCCATGTCCCATCAGCATGAGGACCCTGGTCCTCCCAGGCCTGGCGTAGAAGGTGGCCCAGGCAGTGCTTGTCCACAGCCCTTGGGGCCGAGTGGAGCAGGGGGGCCCAGGGACCAGTGTGGTACCTGGGGAGGCTTGAACCCTGGGGACAGGGGTTCCTAGGGGAATGGGTTTGGGAGTGGCCAGGCGGAGGCAGGCTGCTCCCCCCCACCCCCCCACTCCTGCCAGCAGCCACATCCACCCCCTC